TAGCAAAGTGATGGGGAATTGCAGTGTGGAAGAGACATAGAAGTTTTAACATATTGCAAAAAATTATAATTTCTCTACCAGTTTTTAATATTGTCAATCACACTAGCTCTCAAGCCAGTTTCAGCAATGGTGCAGTCTCATTATTAGAAATTATTAACAAAGACCAAAACGGTGGAGGTCTGTAAGAGGGCATGGAGGGAACAACAGACAACATGTAAAACTCAAAATTTTGAGAATCAAAAAAGTTCCAGGCCTTTTAACAGTTCATAAAATCTCCACGTTAAAAACTCTGTTTACCATACTACTGGATGTTCAAAAGAGCTACAAAATGTTTATAATTTTCTATTATATCTGAAATACTTTTCCCTAAAGGAGGGGATTTTTTTAGTAATCGTTGTCACACCGAATATATTACAGACTGATATATTAGTCTGGAACCACAGCTGGGAAAGAAATGCTTAATAATAGTTATTACTTGTACAGAGTAATAGTAAAATAGAAATGCATTGTGTAATTTGTACTTGCTTGTTTTATGACTACATATATCTGGACAAGACTTCTACACTATACTGATGTTTAATTTTTAATGGATCGGCTGTGATCTGAATTATTTTATTGCACTCCCCATCCCTCAGCACATTTACAAGTGCAGCATCTCTACATTGGTTGAATTAGTCACTTATAAAGCACATATTGAGCCGTAAACTTTGAACCACTCTAATTCCATGTCCACTCAGATCCAGGACTGACAGGCTATTCCAATTAGCCACTAAACTTGTAACAGAAAATTCAGAGTAAAATTATCCCACCAAAATAAAACTGGGATGCATGGAGTGAATAGGGGAACAAACAAGCCTCCAAGGCAGTACAAACAGCCCCTTCTTAAGGGCACACATTAAAATCAGAATCTAGTTAACTAAAACCTGTTACTTAAACTTGAGTTACTCTAATTAAAATACCCTGCTAAACTGTATAGGTGTTTTTCCTGTTTTTCCATAGCGTGTTTTTCTCCATTGTTGGTGTAGTGCCTGATAAAAATTATGCCATGCTTACTAAAAATTATACTAAAAAGCAAACAAAAGCAGAAAACAAACAACACCCTGCAATAAAGAGAGAACAATTATTTCTTAATTAAATCTTCACTAAGAATCAATAACTAATTCTTTTACATGGATTCTTTTAGGGACTACCATTTTTCAGGTCATTCGTAACAAATTTTCCTCTGAGAGTTTGTACAGTGTCCACTGCATGCCATATAAATTAACTGTATCACTTTTGAAGTAAAAATGCATAAAAAGAAAGAGGTATCCCTTCAAAAGGCGACTACTTTCCAACCATTAAGTAATTTGGCACTGAGAACACAACTACTCAAATATGTTCAAAGGGAGACAGGGAACAGAAAATCATGAGGTTAATGTCATCGCTGGACAATTTGTGTCTAACATTATCTATTCCCTGATAATAACAATCAAATCAAGCCTCTGACTTCTAGGAGAATACTAAAAACAAGAAGGATCAAAGCCCAATCCCTTCTCTTTTTAGGTGGCAACAGAGCTGGCCAGGTTCTGCACTCACTCTGGAACAAAGGTTCACAGCTTGAAGCCTGTACAGCGCCATGCAAATATAAAGTATTAACAACGGAGAACAAGAGAGGGGAATGTATCTCAGCCTTGCAACAAAACTCCATTTTCTGCACAGGTAAAATATACAATAATTAATTCATAGAGAACTGATGATATGCAGAGATAAGCAAATTCTGTGTCTCAGTTTCTGGACAACATGGACAGAAAATTACATTTCTTTAATATCCCTATAACCGTAATTCCTGCGGCCATAATCACACATAAAATCAAAACTACCAAATCCTTTGCAAATAGAAAGACAGACAAGGGTTTTGAGACTTCAATTTCACTCAGTCCGTCAAATAAAGAAATAAAATGATCAGAAAATCAAGGGCATATTAATGTTTTTGTTGGGTTTTTGTGTGTTTTCTGTTGTTGTTTGTTTCTTTTGGTTTAATGTTTGTTTTTTTAAAAAACTAAATTGATTACAGCAATCAATAAATAAGTTTCTAAGAACTCTTCTAGTAAAGGCCAGTCCTAGCCAGCAGGTATTGCATTAACTGTCATTACCAATTAGGACTCACTAGGAACAGACCTTATTTACAAAACAAGAGTTCTGGGAATCCACTTGTGTGCTAAAAGAACCTCTCTGTTGCTCCAGTGTGATGTTAGCAAAGCTAAGTGCTGCTTCATTAGGTGCAGTGCACACATTTCCTAGTGGAGACCAATTCTAGTAGTCCAAGGGAGTTCATGTTCCCCATCTAGTATGGGATACACACATTCATATTAGCAATTTCAGAAATGAGACAAAACACTGTTTGTTCATATTTGTTCCTTTTTTTTCCTTGAAAAAGGTAGGATATCAAAATTAAGAATTAGTGTAAACTAGACAAACATCCTTCCCAGTCACTAAACTTTGATAGCCTTTAGCTTGTTTAAATGTAGCGAAGGAAGGAAGGTTAAAAACTGCAAAGTATTTCACCTTCTGAGAACTATCTCACATCCTATATCTTATTCAGACTGGCATCAATCACTCTACAGTCTATGATGGAAATGGCCAAACATGGGAAAGAGAAAAGGACAAGTAATCCTGATGAGTCATTTTTCTCTTTCTCAGTAACTCCTTCTCTTCCCTTTTCCAAATGTCTCTTCCAGTAGATTCAAATATCAGAAACACATTTATTAAGTCAGCTGTTCTTTCCAAAAGGCTGTTTTGTGATATTTTGATTATTACAAAGCACGCAAGTTACACAATCAGAGAAATATCACTGCATCACTTGAGCTGCATTCAACTCAAACACACAAGTTTGCCTAGTAGCTACTGATGCTGATGGTCTGCACACTAAGAACCCAAATCTCTGTTTTTGGGTAATCCAGACATGAAGGATTTGTTTCTGGGTGTGATAATATGAGTCACAGGTTACAAGAAGATACACAGCACCATTCCCTGTGAGAGGAGAAGGCTCTGGAATGTTGTTAACTTTTGCACTACGACATGGAAAAAATATGCAAATTTAAGGAGGAAAACCTCTTAGGTAACACAGTTAAGAAGGCAAAACACCCTCCACTGCAATCAAGTACACATAATTGTCTCCCTTTTTAGCAGAGGCCATTTATCACGACCCTGAAGGTGTCTATAAATTGCAAAGGGTGAAACTGTTTACCAGCTCAGTGTTCATATATGTCCCAATGAGAAGCTGCATTGAGAGTTGGGTTGTTTAACTGTTGCTTAGAGAAGTAGTATGAAGAACAGAGGGCAAGACAGTGGAATTCCTGTACTGTGGTAAGGTTTGGTTAACATCCTATTAATCAGAAGCACCCTCTTTCTCCAGAAATAACAATGTAACTGATAGAATTCCAGCACATAAACACAACTGCTGCTTATTTCAACAAGAAAACTGATTTTTAACATATAAACAAATATGACTCAGTCCTACACAGTTTTACTACTAAGAACTTCCTGTCCCTTCCCTGCACTTGAAACTGTCTGTCCAACATTTCCATTCTAAAACATGCCTCAGCACTGCCCAGACATGAAACAAGCCCTTTTCAGAGAGGTTCATGCCTTCTCATCCTGCACCAGTCATTTTAGCAGTGCCTTAAGCTTAGAAATCTCACTGAAGGATCGGGACCCAAGTAGTGTCCACATTGAGAGGGCAACTAATACACAACATGTAGATCTGTAAACCAGTTTGCTCACAGGTTAAGAAA